ATGAGGAACAGAAGAAAAGCTTTCGAGTGGTGGAAATTTTCAATGGTTGGCAACATGGTTTATTACCACTGAGTCTAAGCTTGAGATAATGGCAAGACATAACATTGGATAGTTTATATGCCCGTACCATAAATTATAATAGCATGATTTACGAATCCCTCAACGAAGACTTTTTATTATCATCTTAATGTGACAGGATCAAAAATTTAATTAGTGGCGTTGCTTGAAGTTATTCAGAAAAAAAAATTGCAGGTGTTGTTGCAGTGAAATCAAGAATAATATTATCCTAATCATGGAACTTTCTTCTTGACAATATATGATATTATATTACTGATCACTCAGTTTCATAGATGCTCTTGCAGGCATGACCGTGTATGTTTTTCTTTCTCTCACTCTTAAAATCATGTGCATCCATAGCTCATTCATTATGTCAGATTTTTTGTTTTTTAATTTTATTTGCAGGGCTGTCACAGATCTGTAGTTAGTTAGAGAAGAAAGAACAATAAGGTAAAGAAGGAAAGGGAAGATAGGATATTTGGATGCTTTGAGATCTTGAGAATTGAAGAGCAAGTTTTTTCTTTTCTCTTTTTGATTAATTTGAACTGGACAGCATTATGTTTTTGATAATGAAATGCAGATGAAGGAAAACAAAGAAATGATGTGTGTATCTGTTGGCGTAACTGATATGGAATTAACATTCAGGAGTTGCGTGGGCTAATAGTATAGAAGTTCTTGTCAAATGTCTATGCTCATAATTGCTTGCTTTAAATATTGTATTTCTCAGAACATGGCTTGCCTGGCGTTTACTAATCCTTAGACAAATATAATGTAAAAAAAACGCCAAGGAAGGGAGCAACTTGTTTGTATCCATACATACATAATAACATATGAGAAAGGATACTATACAACTAACCACATCATGATGTCATCCATTTTTTTAAGTCTCTTGATTTAGGTATTTTTAATTAAGCATATATTAAATTTGTTTTATTTATAGAGTATTCAAAAAATTTATATTTTACAATTAAATATTTTCTGTTCAATTTTTTTTATTAATTGAGTCTTTTATTTACTTTTATTACGTGTTATATAAGATTAACTTATTAATATAAAATAATAAAATTATATTAAAAGTAAAATGATAAATAAATTTTATTGTTTTTATTACAAACATGTTAGATTGTTAGATTATTATACTTTTTAATATTTTTGATATCATCGTTTAATACGACTAATAAAAAATCCCGTAACCATTATTATTTTTATATTATTATAAAATTTCATATCTATTAACAATATTAGCAAATATAACGACGAATATATATATATATATATATATATATATATATATATATATATATATATATATATATATATATATATATATATATATATATATATATATATATATATATATATATATATATACCCAACAATCAACTAAAAATTAATATAACATTTTTAAATAATTAATAAATTAATTTTTTTAATAGAAATACTTAAATTTATTATAGTTTATGTAGCATATCATTCAAATAGTATAAAACACTATTAAAAAAATATCCCAAAATTAATAAACTAGAACAAATATCTATATAAAATATGCGTAATTATCCAAAATAACTATATTTCAACCTCATGTACATGACTCTAATCAAGACTATTTATTTAACTACAAAGGAATCTTTACAATTTCAACTCAAAATGAAATTTTAATTAAACAAAGACAAACTATACATTTATACCCTCGTCGCTCGGTGTTAAATTCTGTGTTGTACTTATATCTCATATCTCTCTGTTCACACCCATCACGTAATCATTCAAATTCATACAATAAGAGCATACAACAAAAAACATAGAAAGGGTAAGTTAATGTTAAAAGAATTAAAAATGAAGTTTCATAAAACATTATATATTACATTTAATTTACAATCAAGCAAATATCCTAAGCATATCATTGAGCTAGACTTGACCATCCGAATATAAGTATGAATGTCGAATTATAGCGAGTCATGCACTTGTGGTGGTCTCTACTACTCTACAAAGTCATTGCCAAATGGGTTTCACCCAACCACACTCACAAGGTTAGTCTGTTATATGTTCTAGGTTCTTAAATTTTTTCCAACAACAAAAATTTTTTACCTCAAAAATCAGACTTGCTAAAGAACAGGTGAGGATAAGACTCTCTCACAACTCCCTCTAACTTCCACGTAGAGTCACATGTTCAGCTATCCTAGACAACCTTGACTAAATTGATGGTCTTTCCTCTAAGTTGCTTTGTTTGTCTCTCCACTATTCTAACAGGTTGCACCTCCACAAATAAGTCTTCTCTAACTTGCACATCTTCTACTTCTAGCACATGAGAAAGATCAAACACATACTTTCTAATTTGTGAGACCTGAAACACAAGATAGAGATTGGACAGTTAAGGAGGCATAGTTATCTCATAAGCTACTGGTTCAACACGTCGTAGGATCTGATATGGACCAACAAACCTAGGAGACAACTTCCTAGATCAAATAGATTTTCCTACACCGGTGGTAGGAGTGACTCACAAGAAGACATGATCTCCAACTGTAAACTCCAATGCTCTCCTTCTCTTATTAGCATAATTTTTTTATTAATTTGAACACCAATAAACGTCGATCATCTCTGACCCACTCACATCTAATTGGTGCAGAAATGCAATTAAATGTATTTTTGGTTTAGAACTTTAATGACTCGACATAGTTAGACATATGTTGTTTGATTGACAGATGTTTAAAAGCCTTTAAACGTTGGATCCATTGATTACTAACGTCTAAAAGCCTAACATATGATGTCAAATAGAACTTAGCCGACGTCTAAGTGATTTATGACATTTCTTTATTAGGTAACCAATGTCTAATTGCTGATTTTATTTACAACAATGTCACCAGACATTTTTTACGTTGGCTGCTTGACAGTCTGACATTGAATGGTATACGTTGAAGGGACATTTTACACTAGTGATACTAGTTAGTAGTCGGCTCTTAAGGTATAAATCTTCTCTCACTCGGTAGCAAAGTAATCTCTCAACGTTCAAGGTGCTCAACTAACACAATTGAACACTTTATTGTAAAATATGTGTACCTTTTTGTCTTTCCACCCCTTATGTCAACCCTTGGATCTCTTATATCTAAGGGGCATGGGGTCATAACTCTTCAACTTCTCAACGTTGTTTCGATGCCTATACTACTTATAAACCATTCATCTCTACATCAAATCAAGCATGCCACTTCATCATTACAACCTCTTTGTCTTTATGTTTCTCGAGATTGGAGGCTACTATACTCATAAGGTCAGGTAACTAAAGAAATACAATTTTTTTTGCACACAACGACAATGGATTCTGACACCGTGACAACAACATCAAGATTCGAGTATATACATATCGAGTCTGGAAGACTAGTATACCACATGTGTCCGAGTACATTTCGACCACCCATGCCTAGATGTACTTGACCCTTATGGTATAAAAACATACCATGACGGCATGGTCAACCCCAAGGCAACCTTTATTGCAAACATTGACTACATCATTAGCAAAATTGATTAACTAAATACTAATCTGGGTAATTATCCACATGAACTAGGTCAGACCAATCAAAGTAAAAATTCCATAAATAATAATATAAATAGCATAGTTTACGAGATAATTGATTATATTTTTCATTAACATTTACTACTTGCTAATGCACATGACTGACTTGAACGTCAGAGGTGTCTTCTATAAACACAATCCTAAGCTAAGAGGCTTTGAGCGAGTGTTTGTTGGAGTCTTTAAAGGATATATTTAGTCCTATAACAACAATTTCAAATTTATTATTCTTTTTTCCATGAATCAATTTACAATGTAACATATCTTTGAATAAGTTTAGCTTATGTTAATAGACATTTTAGTGCAAGTGAATAAATGTTTCTTTCCAAGTTTTATATTTTATGATTAAAAGTTTAGACCTAGTGACTTTAATTCTATCATTAAAACCAAACAAAGGTTTTAGTTTCTATAAGTTGAAAATTGTTTAATTTTGTATATGAAATAAGATTCTCTGTACGGAAAAATCAATTAGTTTTAATTTTTTTTCTTAAAGTCTTTAATCATCTTCCTACCAATATTTTTTTTTTTTAAATTGTAAAGTATTTTTTCCCACTCTTCATATATTCCTTAGTTATTATGGCTCTAATACTCCAGGAATATTTTTGAGTGATTTATTTTTTATCCATTTCCTCGTCGTTAGTCATGTGATATTCTAAGTAAAAATAGGGTTTAATAGCCAATTTAGTCCCCACTTTGATTGAAAAATCTCAATTTAGTCCCTCGTTATAAAAGTGTTTTACATTAGTCCTAACTTTTAAAATAGTGGGTCAGATTGGTCCCTTTCGTTAAATATAAGTTAACGAAATTAATGGATGATGATGTGACACAGCTTAAAGCTGATGTGTTAGATTGGTCCCTCGTTAGCTTTAAGTTGTGTCACATCATCATCCATTAATTTTGTTAACTTATATTTAACAGAAAGGACCAATCTGACCCACTATTTTAAAAGTTAGGACTAATTCAAAACACTTTTATAACGAGGGACTAAATTGAGATTTTTCAACCAAAGTGAGGACTAAATTGGCTATTAAACCTAAAAATAGCATATCATCGATTGTGATATGCAATTTGTTGTAGGTATAGAATATTTGGAGTGCAAAGTGAGAGAAAAAAAAATTAATAGAGAAAAATATATAACAATAGGTTATAGATAAAGAGTATCTAAATTTAAAAATGTATTAAAATTTCTCAATTCTTAACGAAAAACAATCCTCTGTGTAAACTCTGTCCTTTAAAGAAAAAGAACAAAATAAGATATCAATTCTAATTGAGTTAATCAATTAGTATAAGTCTTAAGAACAACGTGAGACAAACTTTCAAAATGAAATTATCTTCAACCCATTTACATGTATATAACAGATCATTAATCACGAACAAACTTTATTTAAAGGAAATTATCTTACACAGCTAATTGCTTATATTTGACAGCCATTTAACAACTTCTCACAAAAGTAAAAGAAATCACAAAACGAAACGAAAATCTGCATGAAAAAGTACACAACTTAATTCCTTCCGACATGAATTCAAAGGTTGCGTTACCAAATTAACGTCCAACACTTATAAAGCTGTCGGTGAAAGGTAGTGTCTGAACGGACTGAAAATTAGGTTGTTCTGAATATTTAACTAGAGAAGGAGGAAGACGGTCATGCATATCAAGTGGAAGCTCTGGCAATGGTGCTTCTAACTCAAGAACTTTTATCACTTGTGCAGCCTTTGGCCTTTCCTTGTCGTTAGGGTTAGTACACCACAATCCCACAATGATCAAGCTTCTCATTTCATCCACATTAAACTCTTTGTTCAGTCTCTCATCAACAACATCCATCACATTCCCTTTCACATACTCTTGCCACACCCAGTTCATCAGAGGCACATGAAACTCTCCATCATGGTAAGTCCTCCTTCCACATGCGATCTCAAGAGCCACAACCCCAAAACTGTAAATGTCTGATTCCTTGCTAGCCTTACGTCCGTTGATGTATTCTGGGGCAAGGTACCCGAAAGTCCCCACCACCCCTGTCATTTGAGTCCTCAACCCTGGATCCACAAACTTTGCCATTCCAAAATCTCCAAGCTTGGTGCTAAAATCTGTGTCCAACAACACATTTGCTGACTTAATATCCCTGTGAAGAACACACTGCTCCGCATCTTCATGAAGATAACGAACTGCTGAAGCCACTCCTAATGCTACCTTGTACCTGTCGGGAGAATTGGGATTAAACGAGAGAAAGAAGCATGTACTTGTAATGCAAGAAAATCAATGCTTGTTTGCCTATGTTTATTTAATTATATATTTTCTTATTTTCATGTTCATAACAAAAGATGGAGAATTTATTCTTTTAAGTGGTGTCAGATGTGATGCAAAACACACATGGTAATTATTTGAAATGTTCCAAACAGGTAATATATTTTAGCTTGAAATATATTATATTCCGAACAGCAAGGTAATAAAATATATTGAAGAAAATAGCATCTATGTTATCGAACTCACCTAACATCCCAGGTCAAAGGTTTTTTGTCCCCAAAGAGATGAGTGTCGAGGCTTCCATTAGGCATGTACTCAAAAAGCAACAGAAACTCACCTTGCTCGTGGCACCACCCTACGAACTGCACCAAGTTTCTGTGTATAAGACGGCTTATGACCCTAACCTCATTGATGAAAACTCTCTCTGAATTTGCAAACTTAGCGAAAATCCTTTTCACCGCAACAACCCTCCCCAAATCACTCAGAACCCCTTTGAAAACCTGTCCCGAAGCTCCTCGTCCAAGCTTTCTATCATCTGCGAATCCGTTGGTGGCTGCAAGTAGTTCTCTGTAATCAAATCTTCTTGGTATAGTTGCTCTATCCAAATCAAACTTAACCAAGTTGGCTCCACCTTCACCATCATTACTCTTATCAACCTTATCCCTTCTTTTCTTCCTCATCATTGCCCAGACTGCAACACTCACAACCACGGCCACCAAGACCGCCGAAGAAGTCGCCACAGCAATCACCCAAACGTTTCGTTTTCCGTTCCCGCCACCGGAGGAATTATCCGAAGCATCCGAATTCAACGTTGAACTAAAGTCCCAGGTGTAAATAACATTGTGTTCGGTGAATTCGCCTGTTGAAGCGGAGAACCCCACATCCACCCACTCTGGTAGAATTTCCATGAGGTCAATCGTGTAAGAAAGTGAAGAATTGGAGTGTGACGTTGCTGTTCCGTTGAAGGACCAAGCCACAAAGAGGGTCTTGCTGGAAGAAGTGTAGGTTATCAAAACGTTACATTTCTTTCCCAGGTTTTTGTCAATGTCAAATTTGGCAGAAGTCACGGAGACGAGAGAGTTATCGTCTATGCCAACGTGCTGCATGGGAGGGTCAATGGTGCCATTGAAAGTGTCAAATTCAACCGCGAGGACGTGGTTGTGGCGAATAAAGGTGTTGGAGGTGGTGTTGAAAAGGGCAAAAGTGCCACCACCTGAGTTGGGAGGAATCGGGTAGCCATGAGGGGCGATGTAGAAGGCGAAACCGTCGGCATAGGTGCCGTTTTTGGCTCTGTCAATGGAGAAAGTGAAGTGTGTGGTGAAGTCTGTGAGAACATTCGATGCTTGATCCCACAGGTGCAGAGGTTTTGCGTACAAGGCTCTTCCAACGCGGAAAAGATAGTCCACAATGTTGAGTTCTACGCTGCCGTTGCTGGCTTTGCCATCACCTATGTATGCCATGTTTTGTGCACTCTCAGGGTCGTTGAAGTTTGTTATGTTGAAATTTAGTGATTCTACAGTTTTAAGAAAGGGAGGACGAAGAAGCAGCAGAAGAACAAAAGTTGTCACCATCTCTAGCAACCTCATTCTCATTCTCAGTGGCTGTTCTTTTTCTCCCCTATATTATATCAATTTTGAAAGACAAGGGGAAGAACAGCTGTAGCTGGAATTGATGAATGGAGCTTCTTGTTTAAAGATATATATAGATAGATACAAAGTACCACATGATTAACAATTTCTCCCTTTCAATCAACTTCTTTTGTTTCTTCTGCATTCGTAAGATTAAAACTCGACCATAAATAAAATATCCAAATTCAACCAGAGCAGTGTATGCATTACATGTTGTAATAACTTCGTCGTTAATTTTTTTTTATCATTTTTTTTACCGTTATCCTACGTTAACAATTTCTTTTAATAACTATACTTCATTAGTTTATTGGTTTGGATATTTGAAACGAACGAAAAACTATCATGTTTGTAAAAAAGTATAAAAAAAAAAAGTTATTAACATATTTTTATTTTTTGTTGTCTTGAAATGTCTATTGAATAATATTGAATATATTCTTTTAAAATATAACATGTCTTATTTCTACTTAGACAAGTCAGACAAAAACAAAAAGGGACAATTTGCTTAATTGGAAAGATTGTATCAGTCATCTAAACAATCCTGGTATAAGTGTTTTGCAATTGGTTTGGTTTGAAAAGGTATTGGTTCACTTCTACGTCATTTAGTTTATGGCATGTTCTTCGTCAACGTATGCTTATTGATGAGAGTCTACTTATGTGTTGTCGTTCTGATTTGTAGTTTATGAGACAATATATGCATTGAAAACTTCAAGGTTTTGAATATTTGGAATTGGTTTAATAATGTTGTTGTATTGGAAGGTAAGTGGCCGTTGATATCCATTACATTTTGGCAACTGGAAAAGTGTTTAGAATTTTAGCTTATTGTTACGTGATATTAGTATTCATGCTTGCATATTTTATGATCCCGTAGTGTAAGATCTAATAGTAAATCTAGTTTTTGAATCAGCTTAATGCCACGACTAAATAGTATTTCAATCATTGGGTGTAGTATAAGGTTAATTAAAAGTTTTAGGTGTAGTATAAGGTTAATTTAGTTAAAAATTCAAGTTTTCAAATGAAGATGAGCAGATAAATTTGAAGAAAAAGTAAGAAAGTTGTCGTTTTGAAATTACAAATTTTTTTGTGATTTCTTAAAGAAAAGCGTGAGTGCTCATGTTTTGGCCATATATGATTTGATGTTATCTTATACCAAATTTCCTTTGGTCAAGTTTTTCTAGAAGTTGGAATGGCTTATCTAACTATAAATGTTTTTCTTGATTTTTATGATAATGAATGTTCTTATGTAATGTTATTTATTTATTTTTATCTTTAATAATATTTTTGACATGATGCAAATGATGTAGAGATGGAAATATCTTAATTAGAATATCATAATCCATAAAAACATGTCACTTTATAAAATAATATAAAAATAATTCACATGATATTTATTTATTATAATTGAAACAAAAGTCTTCATTCAGTAGTTAAAAAAATTCCCTTGAACAAAAGTGTTAATTGGACATACGGCGCCAATTAATTTAATTGTTGAAGAAGACTTCCACAATCAAGGAACCAATAAGAAAGAAACTTCCGGCTAGAAAATAATTTAGTAGAGATAATTACATTGACTTCAATTATTTGATGTTTAGCTTATATTTTTTTAAGTTGTGAAATAAAGTATGTCATTCTTTGACTATTCTACTGCCTCTCTCCATAGGTTATATGCATATGATTTTGAGATAGAAATATCTTAATTAGAATATCATCATCCATAAAGACGTGCACTTTATAAAAATATATATAAATAATTTACATGATATTTATTTATTATAATTGAATTTATTCCTATTTTAGTTTTTGAAGATAAAATTATGATTGAGTTTCAATCTTTAAAAAAATATCTAAAATTTATGATGATTAATCTTAATAATATTACTTGACATACTTAAAATTGATCACAATTCTTAATAATATCACATAGTTAATAATGTCACTGAACATAGATCAAATTAAAACAAAACTAAAAGTTTTCGTTCAAGTCGTAAACCCACTAAACAAATTCTCTTGACCAAAAGTGTTAATTAGACATATGGACCAATTAATTTAAATGTTGAAGAAGACTTGCACAAGGAACTAATAGGAAAGACACTTTCGGCAAAAATCTAATAGAGATAACTACATTGGCTTCAATTACTTCATGTTTAGGTTATATTTTTTTAAAGTTATGAAATAAATTGTGTCATTATTTGACTATTGTACTGCCTCTCTCCATGATGAAGACTTAGTTTAACGATAATAAATTATTCGATTTTAAATTTTTAAGATATAATAAATTTTTATCAGTACATAATAATTTTCTTGAAATTCAATATTTGATAAATTATAAAATTTAGGTTTTCAAGTTCTTCAAAAATTATTATTTTTATGTTATGTCTAATATTATATTATTTTTAAAGTGATGTTAAAATAATTTTTAGTCTTCAGTTTATTTTCTGTCATATATATCAACGCATAAGTTTTTATTATTTGATATTGTATCATTTCAGTATTCAAATCATAAGATATTTAATGCATATAACACGTCAAATTGTGTCACATCGTGCTTCAATTTATAAACATATGGGAAGTAAAAGTAAGAGAATTAATATCGTATACTTGCCAGAAATTTTAATTCATTAGATATTTAATTTGTAAAAAAACAATTAATGAGAATTTAAAATAAATATCGATTATATGTTATATATTTGAAATTTAAGTCTAACTATTTCTTTTGGTCACTTGAAAACATTTACAGAGATTCGATATTATTAAATTAAAAATAAATTTATATAAAAACTTATGACACTATCTCTAACTAAAAATATTAAAATAATATGTATAGTTTTATATATATACAGGGTTAAAATACTCGGTTAGTCTATTTATTTGTTCAAAAAGTCCCCATATTTTTATTAGTCTAAATTATAGAAAAAAATTAAAAATGTAAAAAATTTAAATTATTAAAATATAAAGTGTTAACAAGTAAATATTCTTAATACAATTCTAAGTTATAAACTGAAATTTGGATTTTCAATTTCAAGTTTTAAACTCTATTAATTCTTAAAATAAATATTAACTCCTTTCATCTTCATCTCAATCACTTTCTTGTAGTTGTTGAAAATATTCCTAGTATTGATTTTGTAAAGATATCTATAACTTAATCTCGACTTGTCATGTGAATTGGAGAATTTTAAGGCAACTCTAAGATCCCTCTTAGATTTCAACTGTTTTTTAAATCTTGAAACATTTTACTCAAGTGCGAAGTGTCACTCATGCAAAGCATGTTTCATACTATCTAAGATAGCTTGTAAAATTACATTCTCTAGCCTTTTTTGCAATTTTGTGTTACAAATCACCTTTTCCAATCTCTTGCCTCCGAATAACAAGCTCCTTTCCTTTATAATTGTTTGAATTCTTTGAATTGCTTCTTCCCCGTAATGTTGATAGTGAGAATTGAAACTAGCACTACTCACTTTACTAGTTTGCATCCTAGAACACTATTCAGCCACAAGAATTGGTAAATGGTTGTTAGGGTCCACAAAAAATATAAAATATCATGCATAGATGGAGTTGAAGACAACAAATTTGAAGGTATAAGGAGGATCAACACACACATAGGTCTTCGTATTAGTAAGATATTGTCTATTTTTGACAAAGTCCTCACGGATTTATTTTTGGTATTATTTCAAAAGGTCTCTTACCAATAGAAGTAGAAGTATCTTATGTGTATATAAACTCATGTACATCTTTTGTTTTATTCAAAGAGAGACTTTAGTTTTTATCCTAACAATTCTCCCATCAAACAAAGAACTATGGTTCTCCACCTCTCTTATAGTAAAAGTCTTTTTTTTATCCATGAGTACACCATGGTTTGCATAGAGCATTTCATGCTCTCTTTCACGACCTATGGTCACTATTAAACTGTCTTTTTGTCACCTAAAAACATAACAAAACCTAGTTCACAGAACATAACAAAACCTAGTTCACAGAACAAAACCTTGTTCTCACTGATGTAGTATAAGGGCAACAAGGGAATCAATCCAAGGACTCATTGTAATTAAATTTAGAATGTAAAGTTTAATCTTGTTTTATTTACTAATTCATTAACTACGTATTGCAAGGTGGGGACACTAAAAAGAAATAAAATTAAAAAAATTATGCATGTGTCTACTTTTCTAAATCTAAATGATGACTGAATGATGTATGAGTGTAAAAACAATATCTAATTCAAGAAAACATGTGTAATGAAAATAAAAGAAAGATGTGATGAATAAGTTAATGCAATGAACATAACAGCAAGATCCTAAATGATTAACGGGATAATAAAATATTCCTACTTGGCAATGGAAAAATGAAACTTAAGCATAAGTAACAAAATCTAATGGATGAATGCAAGATGTAAAGAATAGAACGGGAATGTATGTAGAGGTTTATGCTATGCTAAAGCAAGGAAAACAAAATTTGAATTAAAACACAGCAGAATGGAGTATGCAAATGAATTGAATCAACCACTAAGCTAGTGCAAAATTAGCTATTAATGAAAACAACACATAATAGAATTAAAAGAACAACAAGAATTTTCAAAACAGAAAACCAGAAATTAGATTTACACTTCATGTATTGAACTCATCTCTACTTCAAGAAGACATCTTGATAAAGAATGTCCACTTTAGGGTCATTTAATTCTCATAGGGAATCATATGTATGCAGGGACATAGAATCCAACTCATTCAGGTAAAAAAAATAAGAACGACTATTCCTACACCCAAAATTCTTACAAAAACAGAGAACAAGAAAGCAATTTGACTAACCAAAACATATTTATGTGAAACACAAGCAAGGAAGGAACAAAATAGAAATTAATATAATCTAAGTCTATCACAATAGCTACAAATGAAGTAAAGGAATGCGCACAAACAACAGAAGTAAGAGTGAATTCAAAGAACATGGCAGAAGAAATAAAAACTCTGAAATAAACGTGCAATAGGTTGGTGAAGGGAGTCTAAATCACACTTCCAAAAAGACATTTTGTGAAAATTAAAC